GTTAACTCGGGGCTGCATGATATCCACCAAGCTTTCTTCGTGTGTAAAATAAGGATGACTAACAGCACAGCATCTAGGACCTGCAAACCAGTCAACACAGGCTGACTATCAGAGTAACAGTTGGGGGGGCTGCAAGGTGTAGCTCAGTGGTTGAAATAGTGCTCGGCATGCCCAAGGCCCTGGGTTGGATCCCCAGTGCCAAGCTGTTATATTATCATCACCATCTTTACTGGAATAAGAATGTGCTTGTGTGTTTTTCTTTTTTCTTGAAGGGCCTGATACTAAGCACACCCTTTACCACTGATTACACCTCCAACCCAGTTGTGATAATTTCTATGAATCTGTCCCTACACAGGAACAAATTTATTTTTTCCAGATGATTTCCACTTAGCAAAGAGAGACTTTTTTTTTTTTTTTTTTTGGTGCTGGGGATCAAACCCAGGGCCTTGTGCATGCAAGGCAAGCACTCTACCAACTGAGCTATATCCCCAACCAAAACTATTATTAAAAACTTTTTCATAGGCCTTGAACTTTTCATATCTTTTAGCTAAATGTGAGAATCTTAAAGAAATCATCCTCATCAGAGGAGCTGTTATGACAGCAAAATACTAAAAGAAACTTAAATAGCCAACAGAGGTAAGGTCACATAAACTGTAATTTGCAGTCATCATTCAAAGAATGAAATATTACACAGCCACTACACATGACTTTTAAAAACAAACAAAAGACAGTTATTTTGTAATACTAACATAGCCAGATAGAAAATATATCGACCACATGATCTCAAAGGATGTCTACAAAAAAAGCAAACCATTGTTTCCATTAAAAATAATGGCAGAAAATAGACCAAAATCTTCAAACACAGGTTTAGGTCATCTTTGAGGCAACAGATCGGTGATGATTTTTTTCTTCTCTTCTATTTTTCTGTCTATTTTCCAAATATTCTATAATAGAAATTTTTTAAAGTTGGTTTTTAAAAGTGTGTTTTATTAACTTTTCAAATCCTACTTGAAGGGCTTAGCATCTGGTAGGATTTTAAACAGACAATGACATTTGCACATGCAGGCCTCAAGAAGGAGGAGGGTGAGGAGGAGGAAAAGAAGGAGGAGGAGGAGGAGGAGGAGGAGGAGTGAGAGGAGGAGGAGGAAGAGGAAGAAAGAGGAGAAGAAGGAGAAGAATAGGACCAGGAAGAAGATGACAAGGACAAGATGCTTTAGAGATGTTGCCCAACACTCCCATGTTATAGAAAGCTTCTAAAGCCTAGAGAGATGAGCTGATGAGCCCAAGCAGGACACAGCTCCACAGGTGAGGGCTGGAATCTATTCTGATTCTAGTGCTTTTCCGGTTTCACCACACCACCCCCTCAGTCTTCTAAGCCACATCAAAAATGCAAGCTCTCAGCCCTGGGTGGTTGTGCATGTCTGTAATCCGGGCAACTCAGCACACTGAGGCAAGAGGATCGCCAAGTTCAAGCCAGCCTCAACAATTCGGCAAGGCCCTAAGCTACTTAGCAAGACCTTGCTTCAAAATAAAAAATTAATAGGCACCCCTGGGTTCAATCTCCAGTACCACAAAAAAAAAAAAAATTAAAAAATAAAAATGTAGACTCTCAGGCCTCTTCCCAGAGAAAGGAAATCAGAAACTGCAAGTTATCAAGATCCCCAGGGTAAGGTTACCCCAGGAGTAAAAACATAAGAGAAGCCCTCTCTGATGGCTCCATTTAAACCTGATCTGAAAAGGGGTCTCATTTGCATGACATGAAGCATGTTGCAACCTCTCATTGCCTCAGTGTTCCCCAGCAATAAAATGGGCATGATAAAATTAGCATGGCACCTAGAGATATGGAGGAAACAGCTGGGGTGCAGTAAGCCATTGTCAATGGGGCAGGTAAATATTGCTTCTTGTTTGGCCTGTTTCACAGGCCACGAGCTCTGTGAGAGCTGGGAGTTCCTGCACAGTGCTTGACACATAGGAGCACTCAGCAGTGAGCGCAGTTGGCATTTATCACTATCTGATTGAACTGTCCTATTTGCTAGTATTTATCACTCTCAAAAACTGTCAGTTTTCACTGGGCGTGGAGGCACACTCCTGGGAAGGCTGAGGCCGGATGATCACAAGTTCCAGGTCATCCTGTGCAATTTAGCCAGACCCTGTCTCAAAATTTTAAAAAGATTTAATGCAATTCCTATTAACATTCCAATGGCATTCTTCATAGAAATAGAAAAGGTAATCATGAAATTCATTTGGAAAAACAAGAGGCCCAGAATAGCTAAAGCAATCCTTAGCAAGAAAAGCGAAGCAGGAGGTAACACAATACCAGACCTTAAATTATCCTACGAAGTTATAATAACAAAAACAGACATGAAGACCATGGTACAGAATAGAAGACACAGAGAAAAACCCACATAAATACAGTTACCTCATACTAGACAAAGGTGCCAGAAATGGACATTGGAGAAAAGATAGCCTCTTCACCAAATGGTATAGGGAAAACTAGAAATCCATATGCAGCAAAATAAAAATTACACTCCTGTCTCTCACCTTGAACAAAACTCAAAGTGGATCAAAGACCTAGCCATTGGACAAGAAACCCTGTGCTGACTAGAATAAAAAAGCCCAAATCTCCCTTATGTCAGTGTAGGAACCGAATTCCTCAACAAGACTCCTAAAGCACAAGAAGTAAAATCAAGAATCAATAAATAGAATGGTGTCAAACTAAAAACTTCTGCACAACCAAGGAAACAATCAAGAATACGAACAGAGAGCCTACAGAATGTGAGAAAATCTTTACCACCTGCACCACAGAGCATTAATCTCCAGGATATAGAAAGAACTCAAAAAAACACCCCCCCCCCCAAAAAAAAAAACAATCAATAAGTGGGCAATGGAACTGAACAGACACTTCACAGAAGAAATACGATCAATCAACAAATATATCAAAAAAAATGTTCAACATCTRTAGCAATTAGAGAAATGCAAATCAAGACTACACTGAGCAGGGCAGTGGTGTACACCTGAAGTCCCAGCAGCTTGGGAGGCTGAARCGAGAGGATCACGAGTTCAAAGCCAGACTCAGCAACTTTGAGAGTCCCTAAGGAAATCAGAGACCCTGTCTCTAGATAAAGTATATTAAAAAAAAAAAAAAAAAGGCGGGGCTGGGGATGTTGCTCAGTGGTTAAGCTCTCCTGGGTTCAATCCCTAGTATGAAAAAAAAATAAAGACTACACTGAGATTTCATCTCATTCTAGTCAGAATGGCAATTATCAAGAATACAAGAAACAAGCTGGGGTTATGGCTCAGTGGTAGAGCACTCACCCAGCACATGCTAGGCGCTGGGTTCGATCCTCAGCACAACACAAAAATAAATAAATAAAATAAAGATATTGTGTCCAACTATAACTATATATACACATATACACACACACACACACACACACACACATATAAAGAATACAGGTAACAACAAACATTGCTGGTGGGACTGCAAATTGGTGCAACACTCTGGAAAGCAGTATAAAATTCCCTCAGAAAACTTGGAATGGAACAACTATTTGACCCAGTTATCTCACTCCTCCGCATATACCCAAAAGACTTAAAATCAGCATACTATAGTGATACAGCCACATCAATGTTCAGAGCAGCTCAATTCACAATAGCTAAGCTATGGAACCAAACTAGGTGCCCTATAACGGATGAATGGATGAAGAAAATGTGGTATATATATATACATAATGGAACATTATGCAGCCATAAAGAAGAATGAATTATGGCATTGCTGAGAGCCACAGCTGAGTCGGAATGGCCCCTGGCATTTTGCCAATAGTATTGATTGACAGGCGAGGCATTACTATCYGCCTCTGCAGTTACTTTGCAGTTCTCACACTACTTTGGAGTTCTCCTTGGGATTCCCAGGGATTCCTGGAGAGTTCCCATTGGTTGGGGAAGTGCAGGAGGAGGGATTTCCAGAGGATATTTCTGGCTGCTGGTTCCTAGAGGAGCAGGTGACGTTTGGGAGGAGTTCCCAGGAGCTTGTGTGGAGCTGCTGGTGGAGTTCAGAAATAAAGTTTGTTCCTGCTTCAGTGGCTGGAGACCTGTGCCCAGCCAGACTGTGGCATGGCATTTGCTGATAAATGGATGAAACTGGAGATTATCGCGCTAAATGAAGTAAGCCAATCCCCCAAAATGAAARGCCAAATGTTCTCTCTGATATGCAGAACTACTAACACAAAATAAAGAGGAGGGGGCTATCCAGTTCATTGGATTAGACAAAGGGGAATGAAGAGAAGGGAGGGAAATGGGTATAGGAATGAACCAGACTTTCCTTTCCTATGTTCATGTATGAATACACAACCAGTGTAACACCACATCATGTACAAAAATACATTCTACCATCATGTATATCCAAAAAGAACAAATGAAAAAAAATTTTAAATTTTTTTATAAAGTGCTGGAGATGTAGTTCACTGGTAGAGCACCCCTGGATCCAATTCCTGGTGGGGCAAAAAATAAAAACTGTCCATTCAGCTCTCACCTCCCACAGTGAAGAGGTGGGCAAGATGAAGGTCATTATACCATAAAAAATTTACACTAGGGGCKGGGGTTGGGGCTCAGTGGTCSAGCRCSTTTGCCTAGCATGTGTGAAGCACTGGGTTCCATCCTCAGCACCGCATATAAATAAATGAATAAAATAAAGGTCATCTTTTTAAAAAAAYTTACCTAAAGTTTTCTTTAATTACCAACGTGTAACACTACACCACCCATCCTACCGCCTCCATTATAACCCCGCCCCATTTCCCCTAAGCCACGCCCCAATTCCCCCTGCCCCTCCCCTCCCGTGGTCTCCACCCTCAAGCCTGTCCTTCTTCCCCACCCACCTCAAGTCTGCGCCCCGCCCCTCCGCTCTGGCCCCGCCCAGCCATGGGGCGTGCCACCACAAGCTCCGCCCAGTCCACGCCCCGGCCACCGCCGCGTGCGTAGCCCCTGCGCTCGTACGCCTGGAGCACGGCGGTCTCCTCACCACTTGGGGGCCCACAGTCGGGCCCTGCGGTGGGGGCGCGGGACCGCCAGCGGAGGCCTGGGCTAGAGGTAGGGCCCGGGGTGGTCGGGGAGGCGGCGTGGGTCTCCGAAGGCCTAGYCAAAGGGGCGAGGGTGGTGGGGCCCTGAAGAAGGCGGCGCGCCGGTACCAAACGGCTGAGTGCCGGAGGGGAGCGCGGGGCCGGCGGTTACCGACGCGGTCAGCAGAGCCGGTCTTGGAGGTGAGGGAGCCTGTGAATGTGTATCGTGCCCCTTGGGGCGCCAGGCCTGCGCTTCGCGTGGCGAGTTGAGGCGTCCTCGGCTCCAGGCTCCCGACTCCAGAAACAGGCCGAGCGGCCGGGAGCGAGCCCGCCTTGGCCCSGGAGAAGCCGGACGGAGCCCTGCGAGGGGAAGGCGAGCCCCCACTGACCGCCTGCTCTCTCCTAGTTAGACTCCGGCCTTGGAAAAGATGGAAGGCGAGGGGCAGCCGGGGTCGGGCCCGCCCGCCGAGGGCCTGCTCGCCGACGGGCACCTGATCCTGTGGACGCTGTGCTCGGTGCTGCTGCCCGTGTTCATCACCTTCTGGTGTAGCCTGCAGAGGTCGCGCCGGCAACTGCACCGCAGGGACATCTTCCGCAAGAGCAAGCACGGGTGGCGGGACACGGACCTGTTCAGCCAGCCCACCTACTGCTGCGTGTGCGCCCAGCACATTCTGCAGGGTGCCTTCTGCGACTGCTGCGGGCTCCGAGTGGACGAGGGCTGCCTCAAGAAGGCCGACAAACGCTTCCAGTGCAAGGAGATCATGCTCAAGAGTGAGGGCAGGGCCCTGGATGTCATGCCCCACCACTGGATCCGAGGCAACGTGCCCCTGTGCAGTTACTGTGTGGTGTGCAAGCAGCAGTGTGGCAGTCAGCCCAAGCTCTGCGATTACAGGTATGGCCTATGTAGGAACGCTCCATGGGAGAATCACTCCCATGTTTTTGTATCTGTGGGAGTCAGGTTTTCTTTTTTTAATRTTTATTTTTAGGCGTAGATGGACACAACACCATGCCTTTATTTTTATGTGGTGCTGAGGATGGAACCCGGGTCCCGCCCCTCAGGAGTCAGGTTTCCTTGAAGGCGTGTAGAGGCCTCCGGTAATCACAGCCTCTTGCCCGCCCGAACTGCTCAGGACAGACACTTCTGATGTTGTGGAAAACGGCCTTTGCAGTAGTCTTGCTGAGAAGAGGCTTCTCTCCTCTACTTCTTTGCCAGCATGCCCTTTGGGACAATAAAACTTGACTCTTATCTTTCTTAAGTGCTACCTGCATCTTGGCCATTRTATGTTTCCCCAGTTTACATAAGAAAAAATGAAATATGGCCAAATAAATTTTCCTTTCAATCACAAAACTGATTCATCCTCGGCTTTGTATTGTAAAAAGAAGTGTAATTCCAGGGCAGCACTTTAACTGTCTTTTGCTATGGGTGCCATAGTGAAACACATTTAAAAAAAAAAAAAAAAAAAAACCAACACTGAAATGAAAACTCCTCTTGAGTTTCAAGATGGTCTTGCAAGACTGTGTAGTATCTTAGATACACGATCTTGATTAAACCAAGAATATTTCAGTGGCTTCTGCATACACCATGGACAAAACATTTATGTGGTTAAGTAGTGTCTGAAATAGATGAAGATATACCTCCTCTTGTTAGAGATTGGTAGAAGGGAATGATGTCTTACAGGTCATCTGTTCTAACTCATTTCACAGTTGAGGAAATTAAAGGTAAAATGGGACTGACTTACAAAGGAATTCTTACCCCCAGAACAGGATTAGGAATGCTGATACCAAGCCTCCCATAAGTCTGGACATCTTCATTGTAATGGGTTTTTAAAAGCTCATGAACGTACTTACAAGCTATAGTAGAAAGCTGGGACTAAATAGGATAAGCCACTTTTTTCTTTTTTGTAGAACAAGCTCTCTGTTTTTGTTTTGTTTTTTGGCATGAGCACTGGTATGTCAATACCGGTTTTTAAATCTTACCCTAAATAATTTTACACATTATCAGATTTAGATTTAATAAGTTTTCAAAATGATATATTTTAGACAATTTTAGAATTTTTTAACTATTTGTTTGTATTTAGTATTTAGATGTTGTTCTGTCTAACCTGCCTTTTGTCCTTAATCAGTGAGTGCAAAGTTACCAGTGACTTAAAATAAATGTCACAGTGAATTGACTTTTGTTGTTTCCTTCTATTCTCTGTGCGCAAATTAAATCTCCTGTTTTTTGCCTCTACAAACCCTTGCCTGATTTATTCAACTTCCGCTTCCCCAAATTTTTCCTTCTTGATGATGACATATCCTTTATCTCAGGGTTCTCAAGTAACATCCCCAAACCAGCAGGATCATTATCACTTCAAAATCTATTTAAAAATGTAAATTCTAGTTTGCCAGATTTGACAAGTAAAAATCTAACATTTGGGAATTATACCAAAAAAAAAAAAAATGGTAGTTTATCTGAAATTCTCATTTACCGGGGCATCTTCTGTTTAGTATCTGGCAACCCTAGCCCCACCCCAGACCCACTAAACCAGAAACCTGGCAGTCTTTGTTTGAATAGCAGATAACTCTGAAATTGGAGAATCACTGCCATGTTTTTGTATCTCTTAAAACCTGAGTCTCATTCCTTAATTTTGTGTTCTCCCAGTGAGTGCAGTGAAAGTTTGTAATGATAGATCTCCTTCTGATTAGCTTATTCCTAGGGACTGAGCAGTCTAGTCTGTTCACCGCCTGCAATGGTCTCTATATAAATTTAAGAAATATTTGTTATTCCGAAAAGTAAAAAGMAGTATCCTCAAGTTGTATGGATTCTACAATATTCTAAACTGATTTATTTTAGCTAATAATTTTATTCAGGATTATAGTCTATTGTGACCTTCTGTAGAAATGAGATTTTGGAAGAAGAAACAAAACATCACTATTTAGAACATATGATCACAAAACAGTCCCTCTCTGGATTTTATCCAGCCATGGGGAGGGCTTCTTTCCTTTCTGCTTCACATTCTTAGAGAAGCTGGTGAGCTCAGACTAATCATTTGAAAGGGGGTAATAACAGGTAGTGACTGATTTTAAACCTGCAGCCCTGTTAAACTCTGCAAAATAGGTCTTTATACTTATTTATTTGTCGTCTATTTTGTGCCACATATTGTGCTAGAGTCTGTTTTCCCTATAGACTTTTTTCTTTTTGTGTGTTTCTGCCTCTACCCCAACCACTACAATGTATTCTGTACCTCATATCTGAATCACTACTTCTCTCTCCTTCCTTTTGTTCTTCTCGATTCTGACTACAGTAGGGAATTAGGTTATATTTAAGTGTTTGTTCTATTTACTAACTAAATCTTTGTTCCCTGTAATATTCTCTCAGTAAGAGAAAAGGAACTTAAGTTTGTTTGTTGTTTGTTTTAATATTTTTTTGTTGTAGATGGACACAATACCTTTATTTATTTGTCTTTATGTGGTGCTGAGAATGGAACCCAGGGCCTCACACATGCTAGGCAAGTGCTCTACTACTGAGCCACAACCCAAGCCCTGTTTTTTTTTTGTGGTTTGTTTATAAGAAGGCTTTTTCTTCATTATTCTCCCTCTTCTCTCCCTACATACTATGATTAGTAAAACAAAGCCACTTTAGTCTCAGCTTTGATCTTAAATTTTATATTTCTGTATTCTATTGGTATATGTCATATTTCATTAATTATCTGAAACAATAAAAGATACCAAGCCATCTTCTAAGTCAGAGGTGAAGCTCAATGCTTTGGAGCACACCTGTAATCTTAGCAACTTGGGAGGCTGAAGCAGGAGGATTACAAGTTCAAATACAGCCCTGGCAATTTGGGAATCTCTTGTCTCAAAATAAAAAATAAAAAGGACCAGAAAATAGCTCAGTGGTAGAGCACCCTGGGGTTCAATCACCAGTACTGCTGAAGCAAAGCAGATGAATATTCTTATATTATGATACTTAAAGAGCCAAAAGTAAACATTTTAGGCTTTGGGAAGCATTTGGTCTGTCGAAATTACTTAACTCTGCCTAGTACAAAACCAGCAATGGACCATATATAAATTAATAGGTATAGCTGTTTTCCAATAAAACTTTGTCCACAAGATCAGGTGGAAGACATAGTTTACCAAACCCCATTCTGGTATGAATCCCATAATTGACCATCACAACTTCAAGTATAATATAGGTGCCCCCTCCAGCATACTAAAAAGCAATTGGGAACAAGTAACTATTTTTAAAGAAAGTAATAAGCAATTTTGCCAGCAGAATTTTTTTGTTGCTAAACTTTTAAAAAATAAAAGCATTGTGATATGTGACTATAGTCCCAGACACTCAGGAGGTTGAGGCAGGAGGATGGCATGATCCCAGGAGTGCCATAGCAGAAATTTCAGCTACTTGGGAGGCTGAGCTACTTAGAAGGCTGAGGCTAGAGGATTACAAGTTTGAAATCAGCCTTGGTAACTTAGCAAGACTGTCTCAAAGTAAAAAGTTTAAAAAGTGCTGGGAATATAGCTCAGTGGTAGAGTAATCCTGAGTTTCAATCCCTAGTACCACCAAAAAAAAAAAAAAAATAGAGGTCATCCTGGGCAATATAACAAGACTGTGTCTCTAAAATAATTTGATTTAACAAAAGTAAAGCAGTTATACTCCTGAACAAAAATAAGGCAAATCTGCAAAGCATTCCATGTTTTCCCATGAAGGAATAGTGTAGATGATGTTCTGTATCTTGATAAGGACTTCAGTATGAAGGCGTTCATTTCTCAAATTTCAATACATGTATATATTTGTACATTTCATTGTATATAAATTTTACATCACAAGAAAAACCTATAAACAAGTAATGAACTCTAGAAAATGATAAACCTACTGGCTGTTATTTAGTATTTTTATATCTGCCATTTATTTGAAAATGTACCAAAAATAAGATGAATTAATGGATATGGAAGTGTGTAGTAAGATGTTTAATGCTTGAATGCTAGGTCATAGGGATACCAGTTTTTAATGTAAAATTAAAAATATTTTACCTTTTTTTTTTTTTTAACTTTTTACAGTGCTTGAGGATTGAACCCAGGATCTTATACATGCTGGGCAGGTGCTAAAAAAGCATAACATTTTAAAAACAAGGTTATCCTTGTTTTTAGGAAATACTTGCTRAAATTTTGAAGGGTGAAATCTCAATATCCGAAATGTATTTCCAGATGATTTAGCAATGTATACATTTATATTGAAAGAAGCAAGTCATGGGAGAAAATATTAATTAAGAATCAAGGAAGCTGCTTCATAGTGGGGTATAGAGAGGGAGCATGGGAGGAATAGACAACTCTAGATAGGGCAGAGGGGTTRGAGAGGAAGGGAGGGGGCATGGGGTTAGAAATGATGGTGGAATGTGATGGTCATTATTACCCAAAGTACATGTATGAAGACATGAATTGGTGTGAATATACTTTGTATACAAACAGAGATGAAAAATTGTGCTCTATATTTATAATAAGAATTGTAATGCATTCCACTGTCATATAAAAATCAGGGCCCAGTGCTGTGGCATACACTTATAATCCCAGCAGCTCGGAAGACTAACACAGGACATCCAGAGTTCAAAGCCAGCCTCAGCAATGGCGAGGCCCTAAGCAACTCAGTGAGACCCCGTCTCCAAATAAAATTAAAAATAGGGTTGGGGGTGTGGCTCAGTGTTTGAGTGCTCCTGCATTTAATCCCCAGTACTCCCCCCACCAAAAAAAGGAATCAGGATTTGAGGAGTGTAGCTTGGTAGCAGAGCACTTGCCTAACATTCTAGAAGCAGGGGGATCAGAGTGAAGGGTGAGTTTAAGGGTATTCATTTTGCTACCCTTTTGATTTCTCTCAAAGTTTGAAAATTTCAAAGTAAATATAGGAACAAATAAAACTCTTAAGCAGTTACCCAGTGACATGGTACTTAAACTAAAATACCAGGATAGTATTAATTTTTTATTTTTTTTATTTTTTTTAATATTTATTTTTTAGTTCTCGGCGGACACAACATCTTTGTTTGTATGTGGTGCTGAGGATCGAACCCGGGCCGCACACATGCCAGGCGAGCACGCTACCGCTTGAGCCACATCCCCAGCCCCAATTTTTTATTTTTTTAATATCTTTTTTAGTTGTAGATGGACACAATACCTTTATTTTGTTTATTTATTTTTATGTGGTGCTAGGATTGAACTCAGGGCCTTGCATGTGTGAGGCAAGCGCTCCACCGCTGAGCCACAACTCTATCCCCAATTTTTTATTTTTCCACTGGCTTTGAAATCTAGGCTAAGCTAAATACTAAGATACAAGGTGAGTAAAAGAATAGATCTCAAGTTTGAAGATGTTGTTTCTAAGGAAAAAATATAACACTGAATAACTAGTAAGCATTTTGCTTTTATCTTTACAGAGCAAAAGCTAATAACAGTTACCTTGTTGAATTATTTTTAGGTTGGGGATGTAGTTCAGTGGCAGAGYGCTTGCCTAGYAGCAACTGTCAGGCCCTAGGTTCAGTCCTCAGCACTTCAATAACAACAACAAAAAGAACCTCTTCTGAAATTAATTAGAATTTAGTAAATGATAAGTGTGTCATAAATCAGTGGGAATCAAAAAAATTATGAATTGTGCTAGGACAAGTGCTCTTTGGGGAGAAAATAGCTACAGATGAATATATAAATTGGAAATGATAAAAGACTTTAAGCATAATAGTATGTGAATAAACTACAAAGAGAAGTACAGATCTGTATATCAAAACATAAACTGAAATACTTTAAAAAGTACATTTAAGAGGAAACTAGCCTGGCCCAGTGGCACATACCTTAATCCCAACAACTTGGGAGACTGAGGCAGTAGGATTACAAATTTGAGCCCAGCCTGGGCAATTTAAATTTATCAAGACCCTGTCTCAAATTTTTAAAAAGGGGCTAGGAATGTGGTTCAGTGGTAGAGCATCCCTGAGTTTAATCCTGAGTGCCACAGAGAGWTAATACTGAAGCATGTTTTCAATGAATATACAAAAGAAATTGGTAAACACATGTGTTTGCAGTTTTTAAAACCTCCTGAAAGATGAATATAGGACATAAATGAATTCACAAAGCAAAAGACAGTTCAGTTTGACCTAGTGACCAGGAACCTTTAAATAGAATCTTAGGAAAATGTATGCCCTTTGATTCAGAAACTTCTACACTTGTAAGGAAATTATCTCTTTTATGTTTGAGGTTGTTCAACACATTGCTTATACTTACAAGAACAAAGTAATGTTTTTTTAAAAAAACAGGTAAGGGGCTAGATAAATTATGTTATATCCACATAATGTATTATAAACCATGTTTTTAATAAATATTTAATAGCATATAAAATTATTCATGATATAACAGAAGAAAAGCAGAGGCTGAGGATATAGCTCAGTTGGTAGTACGCTTGTCTCATATGCACAAGGTCCTTGGTTCAATCCCCTGCCAGCACCACAAAAATAATAATAATAGTAACAGGAAAAAAAGTAGTATCTATTATAGATCAATATAGATATCATATTCCTAACCCAAAAAACAAATTTGTATGTATTATAATAACTGAAAATAAGCATATCAAAGGAATTAAGAATGTTGGTAGATAATTTTCATTTTATACCTTTCTAAATATTTCAATTCTCAAATATAAGCTAATATTATGAAGTAATTCTGTGGGCATCCTTTCAAATTAATGTATAACAAAACATTCATGTAGATGAAAATTTGACATATTTACAACATTCTAATTTCTTTCAATAACACTACCCTGTTTTTAGAGTATGATCCCCTTTTCCAAGGCCACAGTCACCTGTAGCCCATGGGAAGAGGCCAAAGCAGGGATCTGCCTTCGTTTTCCTCAGCACTAATTTTCTAAATGAGAAGCCATGTGACTCCTCAAAATGTATCCTCTCCTCTGAATGCTTTATGTGTAATCCTCACAGGCAGGATCTGGTTACCTGTGCAGTTATGAATTCCCACAAGTTAAACAGATCATTGTCTCTAGTCCTACCCAATTTAAAAGTTCTTGGTAAAATTTGACCTGTCTCCCACAAATAAGTGTATTGGTGTTGAAAATAGTAATATTATATATATATATTGAATATATATATAATATTTTTAAATTGATGATAACCAGTAGAGAGATGTATTATACTTTAGCTGTGAAATCATCTATTATAGTTTTACGTATATGCATATAATTATTTTTAGCAGTAAACAGGACTCTTGGTAAATAGCAGTTATTGGACAAATCTGAACATCTGAAAGGAAAAAACACCCTTAAAATAGAAGACCAAGAGAATTAATATATGGGGGAAAAATGTATACCCTCTTTTTTTTTTTTTATTCATTTAACTAAAACCATTTTTTTCTGGTGGCCTACTTTGTCCAGTCCAATCTACTTTATCTGTGAGTGGATTAAATACTTAGCAGATTAAAAATAGAAACCCCAGACCTCGCCAGCACTGTTCCCTGCCTGTTGTATACATTGGTACTGAACACAGAGGCAAATCTAAATATACTTGTTTTATCTGTATTTCAAAAGCAAACATAACTTGGTTTATGAGCTGCCCAAAAAGCAGTTGACTGTTTTACTTACATTTATAAGTTGAAATTTTCAGTTTAGACCTGAGAATGTCTTTAGGGCTCAGCAGTGGCACATCTAGGCAGCAAAGCCTGCAGACCTCAAGAACGTATTTCAGTTAAAGCACAAATAACTAACACATAACAGTTGCTGTTCTAGGTGGCTTTTGTTAACGTGGCTGATAGCTATTGATATTTACCTTGTTATAAATCAGAATTAAAAAATCACTGGGCTGGGGTTGTGTAGAGCACTTGCCTAGTACATGTGAGGCCCTGGGTTCGATCCTCAGCACCACGTGAAAATGAATAAATAAAATAAAAGATATTTAAAAAGAAAGAAAGAAAGAAATCACTAAAATACATATTTTTAAAAATAATAACATATTTTTATGAAAATGTTTACATTCAGTCTCTTGTTATAGCACATCATACATCTTCTGGGGAAAAAAACTACATTTTTGAGAGAATGAGGATGAAATAATTTCCTAGTATTATTATTAAAATGGTTTTAATCTCACAGATGCCCTGAAAGGATCTTGGGGCTCAAGATGTTTGAGAACCATTGTTATATTTTCATTCAAACCTTGTAACATTCAAAACTTGTAACTATTTTCACAATGCAGGCATAGATACATATCTTACATGTGCCAGATTTTATATTCAATAATGATGAAATTATTATTTACATTTTTGACAAAAAAAATTGGTTTGTAGCTCAATAAGATTATAGTTTAAAATTAATATATGTCTTTGTTTCTTCCTTCCTTCAGGTGTATTTGGTGTCAGAAAACARTACATGATGAGTGCATGAAAAATAGCTTAAAGAATGAAAAGTGTGATTTTGGAGAATTCAGAAATATCATCATTCCACCAAGTTATTTAACTTACATTAACCAGATGCGAAAAGACAAAAAAACAGATTATGAAGTGGTAATTAGAGATTATTTTTCCTATATTATTATTTCTATAAAGTTGAGTCAGTGTATGAGATTGTTAATTCTGCATTTGTGAGAAGAATCAGAGCCAGAAATAAAATAAATAAAAGATTAGCCAAATTATTATATGTGTGCAGATATGTGACAATAAATCCCATCATTAGGTACAAATATAATTCACCAATTAAAAAATGTGGCGGGGAAGGGAAATAAAAGGTCAAGAACAAGAAGGGATGTAAAATACCTTTATGGTAAGCTATAAAACCCTACCAATTCCCAGAAGTGTGATAAAAATTTTGGCTCTTGAGTTCTTTCATGCCTAGAAGGAGATCAAAAATGTACTAGTGATTTCTAAATCACTGCCTGCATTTGAACCTAGCTTTTTAAAAATAGATTCCTAAAGCCAGGCATGGTGACACTTGCCTATAATCCCAGTGACTCAGGAGGCTGAGGCAGGAGGATCAGAACTTCAAGTCCAGTTTCAGCAACTTAGCAAGGCCCTAAGCAATTTAACAAGACCCTGTCTCAAAAGAAAATGTAAGAACAACTGGGGATGTACTTGGTGGTAATGTGCTCTTAGGTCCAATCCCCATTACCCCCCCAAAAAGAATTCTTTAGTCCAGTTTCATTGCCATGTTTGATTTAATAGATCTAGGGTAGAGCCCGGAAATCCATATTTTTTTAAGGTCCTCACATAATTCTGATGACCAGCCAAATTCGAAATTCATTATTGTCAGTGAAAAGAAAATAGGAATTTTCCTCACACCTTGTTCTAAAAGAATWTTCCATGTGGAATTCTACATGAGGTCTCTAAAAAAAGTTTATATTGCACATTGGATGCTCCAATAAATAATACCAGACATTGAAGTTGTTGGTGAAGGATTTGCTGTGTGTGTGTGAAAATCAATGTAAAAATATCTCTCAATCTTTATGTAGCTCTTAAAGAATAATTATAAAAATTTATATATATATATATTCCCTACTTGAATATGCGAAAATTTTTAAACCTTAATATTGTTAAGGTTAAGATACACTTTTTAAAAAATGTACAGCCTCTTATCTGAATTTAATCTGAAATTATAAGAGGTATGAGAATCACTGAGTTAAAACCACAGAATGACTTTATTAATGTTGAAATCTATGAAGAGAGGGAAAGAGAAGAAATGGTTAGATTATAAAATTTTATTTGGCTTTTGGCTATTACAAGTATGGATTTTTGAATCCACTTTTGAGTACCCCATTTAAAAAAAAAAAAAAAAAAAAAAAACTTTCAACTAGAATATAACCAGCAAAGGAAAATTAAGCATGAAAAGAGATCAAAGAAAAATCCATATCAATATCCATGAATGGTTGAAAGGACTTGAAATGTATTGCTGAGAGACAAACTCATATTACAGGTAGAGCATCCCTAATCAAAAAATGCAAAATACAAAATTTTCTGAGTGCTGACATGACACCACAAATAGAAGATTCTAAACTTGATGGGTTGTGGTCAGAATGTAGGCACACTAAAAACATTGTGTAAAATTACTTTCTGCTGTCTATAGAAGGTATATGGGAAACAAGAATTTCATGTTTAGACTTGGGCCTTATCCCATTATGTATATGCAGATATTCCAGAATCAGAAAATATTCTGATTCCAGGCATTTCAGAAAAGGAATATTCAACCTGTACATTGCTTCAGATGTTTAAACACAGCCGTTATGTGGAAGAATAAATAATATCCAGTTGCTTTAGAAGCAAAATTAGAACAATGAATGAAAGTTATTGAAAGGCAGACTTTCACCTCAGTTTAAYCCAGAACTTGGTACTATTTTAACAGTGGCATGAACTGCCTTGTTATTTCCTTCCTAACATATCTGAGCATATGCTGGAGGACTTACCTAAAGTAACATAGAGGAAAATTGTACATTAAGTTGGAAGGTTAATCTCTTAAGGTCTTCTTTCATTCTTAGAACTATTTGACTTTCATATTATATTGATAGTACTGGTATCATTGTTTTTTCAGCAAATTCCAGCACCATTGTTATCAATGAATGAAAAATGTTGTGTTTGTCATCTCTGAGACTTTTTTTTTACTCGTTTTAATATTTTTAGCTAGCCTCCAAGTTTGGAAAACAGTGGACCCCAGTAATAATCCTGGCCAACTCCCGCAGTGGAACTAACATGGGAGAAGGACTATTGGGAGAATTTAGGATCCTGTTAAATCCAGTCCAGGTAATTAAACAGATCACCTTCCTTTCTTTATTAATCTTTGCATTTTCAATTTCCCTTGAATTCAGCTTTTACTAATTCTTTAAGTCACTAATCATGTAGTAACAGGAAAGAATAGTAATTATAAAACTATCAAGCCATCGGGGCTGGGGTTGTGGCTCAGTGGTAGAGCACTCTCCTAGCACGTGTGAGGCCCTGAGTTCGATCCTCAGAACCACATATAAATGAATAAATAAAAAAAAAAAAGAAGATCTTTAAAAAAATAAAACAACTATCAAGCCATTCAGATGTGTGGAAAAACATAAACCATATTACCTAGCAATCCCACTTCTGTTATCTACCTAAGGGAAATGAAAACATGTTCCCCAAAAACTTGTATGCAAATGTTCATCGCACATTAAATGGAAACAGTTCAACTGTCAATCAGTCGGTGAGTGGATACACAAAATGTGTGTCCTCAAATAAAATGGAATACTGTTCAGTGATACAAAGGAATAAGTTATCTATTATAGTAAATAAGCTTCAAAAACATTATGCTAAGTGCAAGAAGCCAGGCTCAGGCAARCACATATTATACAATTCATATATGTGACCTGTCCAGAAAAGACAAATCAGTAGTGACAGAGTAGATTGTTGTTGGCCTGAGGCTAAGGTTGGAAAGGAGGAGAGACTGCAAAGGGCCATTGGAGGGTCTTATTAAAGCAATAGAAATGTTCTAAACTGGATTATAGTGGCAGTTTCACAACTTGATAAACTAACTAAAAATGGTAGACTTGTTTACTTCAGGTGAATTTKATGATATGTAAATTATAACTTCATTTTTAAAATTTTAGAATGGAAACTAGGCAATATGATATCATAAATGGACTCGAGCATTCATTTATTTACACAGGCAAATGATTTAACCTTCCTGCATGCCTCAGTTTCCTGGCCAATAGAATAAGAAGAATTCCTACTTTGTCAGTGTGGGGCATAAGCCATGGTGAATATATAAAGTGCCTGGCATGGTACCTGACATGTTATTAATGATAAATACACAGTGGCCAGTATTAGTTAACTATATGCCTACTCATCTACAGGGAAATAATCTCTCAGATGAAGGACAATATTGTATAAAAATACTTTTTTTTGTTGTTCTTTCATTTCTAGGTTTTTGATGTAACTAAAACTCCTCCTTTCAAAGCCCTGCAACTTTGTACTCTTCTTCCCTATTATTCAGCTCGAGTACTTGTTTGTGGAGGAGATGGGACTGTGGGCTGGGTCCTGGATGCAGTTGATGAAATGAAGATTAAGGTATTTGTCTTTAAGAACCGCTRTAACGGGGATGTAGCTCAGTGGTGGAGCACTTGCCTAATATGTATAAGGACCTGGGTTCCATCCCCAGCACCAAAACAAAACAAAAAGAAAAAACAAACTTACTACTACAGAAGCACTTCTAAGATTAATTATACAGTATTGTTTTAATTATGTAGGAAATATTAGAAAACATCACCAATTCAAATGGATAAGGATGGGATATTGTGATAAAGCAGTTAGTACAACCTAGAATTGTTATATTTTTGTCTTTATTGCTTTGGTTTTCAAGTTTTACAAAATATTATTATGTTATACATTATTTAAAGAGAAAATCTGAAGTATGTCTTCCATGTTCTAGGGACAAGAAAAATACATTCCACAAGTTGCAGTCTTGCCTCTAGGAACAGGCAATGATCTGTCCAATACACTGGGTTGGGGTACAGGTTATGCTGGAGAAATACCAGTTACACAGGTCCTAAGAAATGTAATGGAAGCAGATGGAATCAAACTAGATCGGTAAGTTACACTTTGCCAAAAAGTGTATTTCTTGAATGTTGGGAATAGTATTTGGTTTGTAAATGAAGACTTGTGTAGCTGTGAACTTAAATGTAATTTGAATGTAAAAGATTATATTAGTTTTACTTATAAGTAGATGCTGATGTCTGTCTTTGTTATTTTGTAAGGTCCAAAGGCAAAGTATGCTGAGTACTTTCTCAAAATTTGCATTCTTTCTCAGATGTGGTTATTTTCTCTAATGTTATTTTAATAGAAAAACCTCATCTATCAGGCATCCAGAGTACTGTTTTTGGTTTAAAAGTTTGTTTTGTTTTGTTTTTTTCCTATCTTCCAGATGGAAAGTTCAGATAACAAATAAAGGATACTACAACTTAAGGAAGCCTAAGGTATGTTTTTAGTGCTTCTATTATGAATAGTTTTAGCAAACAGACACGGAATGTCCACAGTGCATAAGTTGCAGCACTATCTAGTTGGATGCAGAGGCCTGGTGCTTATCTGGAAGGAGCTGGTARTGGAACAGAAGAGACCATGTGCCCACCTCACTAGCTTCTGTAAAAGGTGCTGTGGGGAAGAACAAGGTGTAGGCATACCTCCTTCTGCCTTGGCAGATAAGGCTGAGGAAATTACAGAGGAAGTGATGTGGGAGCTGGCCCTTAAAAGATTAATATAGTTTAGATCAACAGAGAAAGGAACAAAGGACTTTCCACAGAAGGAAYAGTTAAATAGTGTGAGGCGTGGTTAGCAAACAGCAAATAGTACAGAGATAATGTATCTGTGTTTTTGTTTTTATTTGCATTGCTGGTGATCATACCCAGGACCTTGCTCATGCTAGGCAAGCACTCTCCCACTGAGCTATAGCCCCAACCCAAATCTGTATTTCAAAAAGATATTCTGGAGATAGTGTGAAAATAAGTTAGAAGCCGCATGAGAGCATTAACAAGGAGAATCTTAGAGTGAGGACAATTCAAAGACATTTTAAAGTTGGAATTGATCGAGCCTTGGCAATTTATTGGTATAAGAAGAAAGAGAGAAAACGCATATTACTACTAGAGTTCTGATTTTTATTATTGTATATATGGAAACGGCATTAACCAAGATAAGAAAAACAGGAAGTTTCAGGCTTAGGTAGGAAGAAAATAGTTACATTTGGGGTATATCAACTCAAATAACTGTGAGTTGGAAGTTTGAGCTTGTTAACTCAGGAATAAGAACAGAGCTAGACATATAGATTGGGGCGTCCAGGCTAGGTCGRGAAATAAGATAAGCTATCTATAGCCTGGATTGAGACTGATAGAAACTGAGAGTTACAAAGAAGGTTTGAAGCAAATGCATTGGGACTGTCAAAGTGAAACCCTGAGTGCACAGAGGAGAGCCTTTCTAGATGCTGGGGTATGAGTGTGGCATGGTAAATAGAAATGGAAAGTCAGATTCATATTCAGTTACCAGCCTAGAACTGAAGTTTGTTTCTAGTAACTTCACCAAAGAGTATAAAGTAGCTGTATGTGRAAAATTTAAAAAGTACTCAATTTTCAAAAAGGAACAAAAGACTAAGATTTACATATTGAAGTATGACACCTGCTTGCAGAGAGACAGTCTATTGCTTATCCTTTCTCACAGGAATTCACAATGAACAACTATTTTTCTATTGGACCTGATGCTCTCATGGCTCTCAATTTTCATGCTCATCGTGAGAAGGCACCATCTCTGTTTTCTAGCAGAATTCTTAATAAGGTGTGTTGGATAAAATAACATTTCCTGCTTATCACTGAAGGTACAGTAAAAATCAATAGTTCAATTATATTTAGCACTCTTAGATCTCTTAGATTCTAATTGAACTAACTTATAGAAACATTGGCCTGCTCTGTTGTGTAGGACTGTCAAGTTAGATTCTCTTTTTTTTTTTAATATTTTTTTAGTTGTAGTTGGATATAATACCTTTATTTTATTATTTTTATGTGATGCTGAGGATTGAACCCAACGCCCCACATGTGCTAGGCAAGTGCTTTACCACTGAGCCACAACCCCAGCCCTCAAATTAGATTCTTAAATGTATTTTATTAACTGGAACACATTTTTATTTTATTTTATTTTTAGATATCAATGGACCTTTATTTATTTATTTATATGCAGTGCTGAGAATCKAACCCCAGTGCCTCACACATGCTAGGCAAGTGCACTACCACTGAGCCACAACTCCAGCCCCTAACTGGAACAGATTTTTGAAAATTCAATGTTGGAATGTTTTTCAACATATTTTGTTTAGGTGAAAAGTAAATATATGATAACTTATATAAATGGCAACTGAAATTGGAAAGGCAGTTAGGCAGAGTAAAATTTTAGTTAAGTCATTAATGAAAAAATATAAACCATTGGCTTATAAAACTCCATAAGACAGATGAGGTAAGGAAAAGAGCACTTGTTTACTGTGACTCTTAGCTATGGTCATCACTCTGGTTTCTGGCACAGTCAGTTCCTTTAATGGAAGCTTTGTTTTGGATTTTGTTTGTTTGTTTTGGTACTGGGAATTGAACTCAGGGGCACTCAACCACTAAGCCACATCCCCAGCTCTATTTTTTATTTTATTTAGAGACAGGGTCTCACTGAGTTGTTTAGCACTTCGCTTTTGGAGAGGCTGGCTTTGAACTCATGATCCTCCTGCATCAGCCTCCTGAGCCACTGGATTATAGTCGTGCACCACTGTTCTGGGCTCAGAATTTTTTTTAAATGACTTTAATGATAGAACAAAAGAATGTGAAAAACAAATACAACCAGGCRTGTTAGCACACACCTGTAATCTCAGCAACTCAGGAGTCAGAGGCATAGGACCCCAAGTGCCTCAGCAACTTAGCAAGACCTTGTCTCAAAAAAATAAAAAGGTTGGCAAGGTGTGGTGGTGCATGCCTGTAATCCCAGTGGCTTGGGAGCCTGAGGCAGGTGGATGTGAGTTCAAAGCCAGCCTCAGCAACTTAATGAGGCACTTAGCAACTCAGTAAGACCCTGACTCTAAATAAAATATTTAAAAGGGCTAAGGATGTGGGCTGGGGTTGTGGCTCAGTGGTAGAGCACTTGCCTAGCATGTATGAGGCACTGGGTTCGATTCTCAGAACCACATATAAACAAATCAATAAATAAAGGTCCATCAATAACTAATAAAATTTTTTAAATAAATAAATAAAAGGGCTAGGGATGTGGGCTGGGGTTGTGGCTCAGTGGTAGAGCACTTGCCTAGCATGTATGAGGCACTGGGTTCGATTCTCAGAACCACATATAAACAAATCAATAAATAAAGGTCCATCAATAACTAATAAAATTTTTTAAATAAATAAATAAAAGGGCTAGGGATGTGGCTCAGTAGTTGAGCACCCCTGGGTTCAATCCTCAGTACCAAAAACTTAAATTAAAACAAAATAAATAATTCTGTTCCTGGGCCTATTTTACAAATATTTCAAATTTTATTTCGTTCCCTTTTATTATAGTTAACTAAAGCAATAAATATTGCTATTTATATAAATGATAATTAACTTTTCTGTACTTCATCAACCTTTCTGTATTCAATATTTATATTCAAAATGAATCATTAAATATTTGCTTAATTTATCTGCATTTTCCTTAAGTAATTGGAGTAATCAGMAGAAAAACATCATTTAAACATAAACCACCCCTATTCCTTCTGAAAAACAGACTAAACTTTAAACTAATAGCCTATAATCCCAGCTACTCTGGAGGCTGAGACAAGAGGATCACAAGTTCAAGACCTGGGCAACTTTAGCAAGACCCTGCCTCAAAATTAAAACACTAAAAGGGCTGGGCTATAGCTCAGTGGTATAGTACTCTGGGTTCAATCCCCATTACCACCAAAAAAAGTATGGCCTTTATTGTCACCTCAAAAGAGGGATGATTAACATTTCCTCTGTTGTACCACAGTTCAACTCTTTTTTTCATTTTCAGAAAATGTATAATTTAATAAATATTGTATAATTGGAATCTTGCCCTGAGTGTATAGTCCAATTGGAGAGATAATGCTCACCGGGAACAAATTTTTTAAATGACAGTATAATGTGATATCAGCATAACGTCAGAATTGTTTAGGAAAGAGAGAGGTGGGAAAGTTTCCAAGGAAGCTCAGGTACAAGGGCCAGACTTGAGTCTCTGAAGAATGAGCAGCATACCTAGGAAGAGAGACCATGGACTCATCCTAATCTGGGGCTACTGATCTTATTTCTTTTTTGTACCAGGATTTGAACCCCAGGCACTCTACCACTTAGCCACATCCCCAGCCCTTTTTTACTTTTTTTTTTTTTTTTTTTTTTGAGACAGAGTCTTACTGAGTTGCTTTGGACCTTGCTAAGTTGCAGAGGCTGACTTTGAACTTATAATCCTCCTGCCTCAGCCTCCCAAGTCTCTGGGACTATTAGTCATGTGCTCACATAGAACTCTTTAAGCCAAGAGTAGCATAATAGAATGAAATGTAAAATGAAAAGGCTGGTAAAAGAGAATCACACACCAAAGCATCCCTTGGAGTGCCCTTCTGTCCATCAGTGTTCATTCCACTCCAAGGAAATGCTGTTCAAGGCAGAATGGGGAACTTTGTACAGTGTCTTTTTCTTAACATTTAATAGGGTTTGTGAGATTTGTTTTAATGTCATATTTTTGTTCATTTTTCATAGGCTGTTTATTTATTCTATGGAACCAAAGATTGTTTAGTGCAAGAATGTAAAGATTTGAATAAAAAAATTGAGGTAAGCCACAAATACCTTCCACAAAGTTTTAGATGTTTTCAGGATTATGAAGGTTTTTTAACAGAAATGCTGATTCTTCTTTTAAGTTACTTTGCTAACATATGTGKGGTATTTATTTGTGTGCCAAGCACTTTGCTGAGTGCTTTATATACATTATCCCTCTAAACAGTTCCCATAAACTATAAGGCAAGTAGTAGTATATTGCTATTACACAGAAGAGAAAACTGAATTTAAATAATTTGCCCATTTTCAGACAGTTGGTTTCACAGGCATGGGTAGTCAGGTTTGAACCCAGGTTTACCTAACACCCAAATCTTTTAACTGATATGCCCTAATGATTTGCACTTTAAGTTGTCTACTACAGTGAGTGCCTGATTTATCATAAATGCTCAGAAGACATTTAAATGCAAAGTTCAATTCAGACTGTTTTGGTGCGATCTCTCTCTTATATACCTAAACAAAATAATACTGTACATGCTGGCACATTCCTATAATCCCAGCTACTCAGGAGGCTGAGATAGGAGAATTGCAAATTTGAGGCCAGAATGGAGAACTAGACCTTATCTCAAAATAAAAAGATCTAGAGAGATAGCTAAGTGATACAGCACCCAGTACCAAAAAAAAAAAAAAACAGAAAAAAAGGAGTGATGGTAAGGACTAGGGATGTAGCTCAGTAATAGAGGGATCGCCTAGCATGCATGAACCCTTGGTTCAATTCCCACCACCAAAGCAAAAATGTATAAACAGTAAAAGTAGAATTCTAGTGATTGATTATTGTTACAGTATACCTGATAACATGAGATGGCAAAACCTTGTGTGTATTTCTTGCTTGCTTTTAAAAATAATCTAATGGGGGCTGGGGTTGTGGCTCAGAGGTAGAGCACTAGCCTAGTATGTGTGAGGAACTGGGTTCGATCCTCAGCACCACATAAAAATAAAATGAAGATATGTGTTCACCTATAACTAAAAAATAAATATTTAAAAAAATAATAATAATCTAATGGGCTAAGGCTGTAGCTCAGTGGCAGAATGCTTGCCTAGCATGTGTGAGGCACTGGGTTCAATCCTTAGCACCACATAAAAATAAATAAAGGCATTCTGTCCATAAAAAGTAATAATAATCTAATGGTTATAAAAACAAYAAAGATGCTAATGGAGAGACCCAAAACTAGTAAAGTAAGTATGGGAATAAGTAAGATGGGAAGAGATAATAAACATATTGGGAAAAGAGAGAATAAAGTGAGCAGAGAATAAGGAGCCAAATTTACATTAGCCAAGGAAAGCCATGCTGTTAGCAAACACTCAAGAGCCTGTGGGAGCCACACCACACAAAATAGCCAGGTTCTCCATAAAGAAGGTCTTGGGCATCCCAGCTGCCCAGGAGGCTGAGGCAGCAGGATCGTGAGTTCAAAGCCAGCCTCACCAACTTAGCGAGGCCCTAAGCAACACTGACCCTGTGTCTAAATAAAACACAAAATAGAGCTGGGGATGTGGCTCAGTGGTTGAGTGCCCCTGAATTCATTTCCCTGTACCAAAAAAAGGTCTCTGGATACTTTATTATATTTCCTTCTTTCTGGGCTTTGATAATATTGGTAGCACATATAAAATAGCACTTTATTTTGTTGTCTGAGTTTTAATTTATACAAAGGTGTTTCTGAAGCCACCTGCAAAATGCAAGGTACTCCTAAATACTGGAGTTGCAGTGATAAATCCCTTCTCTAAGTTTACAGCCCAGAGGGAAAAAAGATACTTAAATCACATTGCAACATRGTATGAGAAGTGATATAAAAAAGCAGGTGGTCTTATAGGAGTTAGGATCTTCAGATACTTGTCTAAGGAAAATGACAATAATATGAAGTCATTCTAGAAAAAGTAACAAGCTGAAATCTAAAAATTAAAAATTAGCTAAGTGAAGAAGGTAGAGAAGATCKTTCTATGGTATGTTCTCCTTGCCTCTTCGGCCATGCAAACATGGCCGAAGAGGCAAGGGAGAACATGATATAGTAGTGTTCAAACAGAAGCATAGTAGCAAAAGCTAAGGATGGACAGAAACCAAATCACAGAGGTTTGTATTGGCCTATTAAGGAGCTTGAATTTTGTCATGAGCATAGAGTCAAGCCACTGAAGGGTTATAACATGGGGATTAGGTGCATTGTGTCAATCCAACTGCTCTGTGAGGAGTGCACAGGAGAGAAGTAAAGCTAGTAATAAACAGACCAGTTAGAACAAGCAGAAGAAGGAGATGATGGTTCTGCCCTAAGGTACTGTCCCAAATGATAGAGAAGTAGTATCAASCAGGCACAATGACACACACCTGTAATCCCAGCAGCTTGGGAGGCTGAAGCAGAAGGAACACAAGTTCAAGTCCAGCCTCAGGAATTTAACAAGACCCTAAATAAATTAGTGAGACCCTGTCTCAAAAAACAAAATGTGGTTAAGCAGTCCTGGGTTCAATTCCTGGTACCCAAAAAAAAGAGAAAAGTAGCCTCACCTGTTTTCAGATTGATGAATGTGGAGGAGAAAGGCATAGGTGGCCAAGATAAATCCCATGTTTCTGGCTTGGGGAAGGTGAGGGGTGTGCTGCTCTTCCCTATGAAATAGGTTGGTGAGGGGAAGCAGGTTGCTGAGAAGGGTTTTGTCTGTTTTGTATATGCATCATAAATACCACAGTCAGTAGAAGTGTTTTGTGGGCCTTTGAATATGGCCCAACTCGCCAGCAAACTGTGCCAGCAAAGTAGAACTGTCAACACAGAGATGGCTAAGACTGCCCCCCACAGCCTGCAGCATGGAGAGAAGGGCTTAGTACYGGCCACAGAGGTAGGAGTCCCCAGCGAGCAAAGGAGTTTTCAGGTACAAAAGAGGCTTCATTAGTATCAGGTCAAAGGTAAGCTGTGAGTTAGACAAGGCCTGAAGAGAATGATGGAATTTAACAAAAAGGTCATTATTAATGCCTTAATTAAACACAATTCCACTGATTGGATGTGGTGTACACCTATAATCCTGGCCACTCTGGAGGCTGAGGCAGAGGGATTATAAGCTTGAGGCCAGCCTGGACAATTTAGGGAGACCCTCTCTCAAATTTAAAAAAGTTTCACTGAGGAGGTGGGAAAGCCCAGACCATCTCCAGTGAGAGGTGGGAAATAGTCTTCTCCTACACCTGCTTCTCTCATGTCTTCATGATTCCAGCTGGGTATGTGTGGAAGTCACTTGCCCTGTGGTAACTAACTGCTTACATTTCTTTAAAGCTAGAACTGGATGGTGAGCAAGTACAGCTGCCTAATTTGGAAGGCATCATTGTTCTGAACATTGGCTACTGGGGTGGTGGCTGCAGATTATGGGAAGGAATGGGAGATGAGACTTACCCACTAGCCAGGTATGTGTATTCACAATCTTAAGTCACCATTTTCTTTAAAACACCCTATTATTATAGACTTTCACATTTTTTTTTCAGCTTTTCTTGTTTATATACTCAGTAATATAAACATTTAATAGGTTGATGGCCCCATTTGTGTTAGATGGCCCCATTTGTGCCCTTACTTGGCTGATTTTATTTCATTGCATCATATGATCCATATTTCCTTCTTCAATTGTTAGGCATGATGATGGTTTACTGGAAGTCGTAGGAGTGTATGGGTCTTTCCACTGTGCTCAGATTCAAGTGAAACTCGCAAACCCTTTTCGAATAGGACAGGCACATACAGTTCGGGTAGGTAAAATATGCTGTAATACTCTATTTTCAGACCATTCATCTGTTGAAGAAAGGAGGCATGGTGTTTTTTTTATCTAAACAGGTTTATGGCCCATGCTGTTGGTAACCCTACTTCAGAGGCTCGAGTGGGTGGGAAAGAAACAGAAAACATGGCCCTTAATCCAGTCAAAGAAATAAGGCATCTCCTGAAAATGAATCCCTAAACAATCCGTGAATATTTTCATATATTGAGTTTAGTTTTCTAGAAATGAGATGCAGAAGGATTAAGGGACCATAGGTGGTATTAGTAAGGAAGATCTTTCTGAACTTCTTGGTACTGACTTTTTTCTAATTTTTTTTTTCCTAACATCAGCTGATTTTGAAGTGTTCGATGATGCCAATGCAGGTAGATGGAGAGCCATGGGCCCAGGGGCCCTGCACTGTCACCATAACTCACAAGACACATGCTTCAATGCTGTATTTCTCTGGAGAACAGACGGACGATGACATCTCTAGTACTTCAGAGCAAGAGGACATAAAGGAAACTTAGTAGACAAATGAGAAAATGAAAACTTAGTGTAGCATCTGCACAAGCCAGTAGATACATGTTCATCCAAAAGCAGAAATTCTCTATCAGCTATTCAGTCTTAATTTCACTCATAGTATAATGGATATACATGTAAGGACTGGGATCTAGCTCAGTGGTAGAATATTAGCCTAATGCATGAGGCGCTGGGTTCAATCCCCAGCACAGGAAAAAAAAAAAAATACAGTATTTAATGGGTACACATTTATGTAAATAGCATTCCCAAAACAATCAAACTTCCAGTTAGTATAAATGCGTATTCTCTTTTCAGCATACTTTGACCATGTTACTAACTTTGGAAAAATCACTAAAGATTACTTGAACATGAAATGTTTTTCATGGTTGTATATTTTGAGAGTGAAGCTTACTCTGAAATACGCACTCTCATTCCTTATTCTTAAATAAAATATTTGATGGACAGTATGTGGGTAGAAAAATCATTTCCATCTTAATTTTTAATTCGGTGACTCCATATTGTTTTAAAAATTAGCTTGCTGTTTTGAACGGAAATGGTTCATGTCAAACTGGCATGGTGAATGCTAGGCAGTCTCCTGCAGCATGCTTTTTCAAACCCTTAAAGGAGAAATGTAAAAGAAAGATAATGATCAAATTTGCGTAAAGTGTTGTTTGGTCATTTTTAGACTTCTAGATACTGTTTATTGTTTGATATTAATCCTGTCCATGACCATGTTGAGCGAAAGTTCAGGATTTTTTCATTTTGTTTTGTTTTTGTTTGCAGTACTGGGAATTGAACCCAGGTGCCCAAGGATTCTAAGCAAGCTCTCTACCACTGAGCTACACCCCCAACCCAAGGATCTTTTTTTATATCAAAAGAGAACCAGATAGGGGGATTAATCTAAAATACGATTTAGAGCGTTTTTGGATTAAAAGCTACAGGTTCCAACAATTTTAAAAAAAATGGTTAAAAGAAACTTACTGATCAGTTAATTGCTCAAAAAAGTTCAAGACTAACTCATGTTTTCAATATTCAATGGTCTTCTAAGATTTTAAAATAGGGTAGTCTTTCATATTTAAAACTCTTAGAAGAATTTCCCCGTGGGGAGGTAAGTGGACAGAAACCACTGCTAAAATGTTTATGTTCTATTTATTTTAAAATGAGAGATATATTTTTAACTTATTTATTATTTACCTTGTTGTATGATACTTGTGTTTAGTGTTTACACTGTATTATATAGTTTATTTAATAAGTTAAATTGGTCACATAAATTATCCTAGTTATAATTAGATAAAAATATGAAGTCAGGTGCAGTGGCACACATCTGTAATTCCAGAGATTTAGGAGACTGAGGCAGAAGGATCAGAAGTTTGAGGCCAACCTCAGCACCTTAGTGAGACCCTTTCTCAAATTTTAAAACAGGACTGGGGATGTAGCCCGGTGGTAAAGTGGCCCTTGGTTCAATCCCCAGTACCAAMAAATAAAAAAGACATGTAATAAAATCCTAATTTAATTCTCCTCCCAGAAATATTACCTAAATATTCTCATTCCTCTATGTTTAAAGTGGGTAGGGCATGAAAAGCACTGGCAAAGTGCTTTTGGATAAATGCAGACATTGTCCCTCAATGCCAAAAACTTATTGAGGGGCAGTTCCATGGATGCCCGTTAGAGGGTGCTCTTCTGCCATTGTTAACCAGCCTTACCCTAAGGGTCTGCAGTTGGGCACACCCAGTGGGCCTCCAGCCTGGTGTTTTTCTGACAAATGGCCTATTTGTGGGCTTAATGGTCTTTCATGACATTAATCTCTGAAAAACTAGAAAATCCCAGTGGCTCCCCTTAAGGGTCTGCTATGACCCACATGAACCATAAACTTCAATTTGAGTCACCCCAGACCACGTTTTGAAAGAACTTTCTAATGTATGCAGTAATCAGTATGTTATATAAAATACTTTTACATTGTTAAATTAACTTCTTTCAGATGTCCAAATGTGATGCTAAATTCCAGTATTGAAAGATTTTGTACACAAGTCTACTTTCAACTTATTCAGGCACCTTTCATATCAGGTAACCATGGCAGACATAGTGGGAGAGTTTTGAAGATTTTCTTTTATGGGCTGATCATGTTTTGAGTATAATGAAGTKTATCCTTTAATTCATGATCAAAGTTTTTATGGTTACCACACTTTATTAATACATTGTTATATTCACTTTGTTGTAGGTTATACCTATAATTCATAGTGTTAATTGTAATCGAAGCAAAGTAAATAGTTTGGAATATCAGAATTAAAATAATCAAAATAACTATAATTTTAATTGTTGAAATTACTCTAACCATAATGTTACACTGGATTTAAGTTTATGTATAATGCCTTTATTTATTTAAACACATTTTTCAGTTATAATCTAATGAGGTTTTTTTTTTCCTGCTGACCCTTCATGAAATTTTTCTGCTGCCTTATTGATTCATTCAGGTTTAATTTTTATTTAGGAAAGTTATTTCGGAATACTATATCACAAAACATATTGCTATCTTTAATTTTAACARAATTCACTTACTTTTTTAGCACTAGTTGCCCAGCACTTCAGATAAATGTATAGGCCTGTGCCTTGTTTAAATAAAAACATTTTGTAATAATTCATGTTTGCAAGTTATATAGTAGGGTGTTAATTGTTTATATTACCAGGATTCTACATTTTATGAAATAATTCACCATAAGATTTTTCTGTTCCATTTAAAATTGTCTTGATATTAAAAAATAACTTCTACATTCTCAGGAAGAAACATATTTCCATATCCTTTCACATTTCTCTCATCTTTTACTGCCCTAATACATTCCTAATTCCTCATAAACTTAGTGGCTTAAATACTGATTACCTGGCAGCTCTTATAGATCCCTGAGGTAGATAATAATTTTCAGTCTTTGTTATATTTAATAGGAGTCGTCTAGTAGTAAGATTACATGGTTTAAATTATTTAGGTTTTCTGCAACAATTAGATGTGAACCTTTATTGTAATGCTAATGTTTGTAAATTTTTTATAGTTAAAATTATTTATTTTTATTTTTTTAGGATATGTCAAGAACATGTAGTGTTTACTTTCTGAAATGTATTTGCCTAGAATTGTAAAATATACTGTGACTTAGAAATTCCATAGTCTGTTTTGCACTGTAAAAATTAATACTACCAGCATGTCAAGAAAAATAATTTGCATTTGTACTATAAAGTAAAATTGTATCTAATTTATGTTATGGGGATTTTAATTTGCACTAACTAGAAAACTTTAAAGGTTCTGTTAAAATACAAATTGATGTGGACTCAAATACCAAATTTGGCCATTCAATAGAATGGTTGATAGTTTTGTGCAATTTTCCTTCAAAATAATATTAAAGCAAGAACCAGCACTTTATATTCAGAAATGTTGTTTGAGACTTTTTTTTTCCCTTCCTATTTTCACCCAGCTTAGGACAGTGAAATGTTAATTTGTTTTTTAAATCTATAAATTTAAAAAGAAAATATAATTTTGTTACTATATCCCAATCCAAATGAAGGTACATGCTTAGCAATAAGACAGAAAAAGGTTTTTTATTTTACTTTTAAAAAGTATGTCCCTGTGAGGAGCATGGTGATACACATCTCTAATCCACCACCTCTAGAAGCTTAGGCAAGAGGATTGCAAGTTTAAGGCCAGCCTTGACAATTTAGGGAGATCTTATTTCAAAATAAAAAACTGTTAAAGGGCTGGAATTATAGCTCAGCAGTAGAGCACCCCTGGCCTCAAACGCCAGTACTGCAGGGTGGGGTGGGGGAGTATGCCCCTGCTTTCTGAAATCCCCCTTTAAGACCTGTCTTGTTGGGTTTTGGAATTTTTTTGTAGTGCTGARGATTGAACCCAGAGTCGTCTTGTGCATTTAAGGCAAGCACGCTACCAACTGAGCCATATCCCCAGCCCATTGTGTTTTTCAAAGTGTTCTTTCCTCAGCATCAGAATCAGGCAGACAGGTCGTTGAAATTACAGCTTCCTGAGCCCAACTCTGGATTTAATAAATCATTGTCTCTGGACTTGGGACATGGAAATCTCTTRGTATTAACAAGTACCCAGACATTTCTCCTGGGCATGGAAACCTGAAAGTTGTTGATGATCTGTGCCTCTTATATTCACCCTGAATATATATATATATATTTTTAATGTGGTGCTGAGGATTGAACCCAGGGCCTCTCATGTGCTAGGCAAGCGCTCTACCGCTGAGGCGCAACCTCAGCACCCAGGGCTTTTGCCAGGAGAATACTGTACAAAAAAAATTAATTGAATGTCCTCAAAATTATTTTTCCTTTACTTTGCTAACATACTTCTTCACAGGCAAATAAATCATTCTTCTAAGAACTCTGAAAAACTTGTTTGCATCCTATTCAAATTTATGTATTTGCTACCATATAAAAATAGCCTCTGCTGGGGCCAGTGGTGCACACCTGTAATCCCAACTGCTCAGGAGGCTGAGGCAGGAGGATCATGAGTTCAAAACCAACCTCACCAAAAGTGAGGCACAAAACAACTCAGTGAGACCTTGTCTCTAAATAATTAAATACAGGGGCTGGGGTTGTGACTCAGAGGCAGAGCACAGTGCCTAGAGGCACTGGATTCGATTCTCAGCACCACATATCAAATAAAATAAAGGTTGATTGATATCTAAAAAAAATTGTAATAATTAAATACAAAATAGGGCTGGGGATGTAGCTCATTGGTCGAGTGCCCCTGAGTTCAATCTCCTTTACAAAAAAAAAAACAAGGACAGGAGGTAGCTTAGTAGTAGAGTATTTGCCTAACATTAACATATGAAGCCCTGAGTTCAATCTTGAGGATGGGGAACTGTATTTTAAGATTCTGGGGAAAGAATTTTTAAAAGTCACCCTATTACAACCATGTTGCTGGTACTCAACCAAGGACATTTCCCCAGTCAGTAAAGATACCCTGAGCTAACTCCTTATTAAAGGAAGGTGCCARTGCAGAATGCACTAAACAGGAGAGGAGCCATAATCTAGAAAATTTTCATCATGTGGGTTGTACTTCTCGGGGACTGACATAGAATGTTGAAAAGGATGAGCTGGGGAGAGTTCTGTTTTCCTTGTTCCTCTAAGATTATCCAGGTAAGAGAGCATCCTGATCAGAGGAATAGATTAGGCTACTTGAGAAACTGAAGAGCATTTGTTCTTATTCGAGTTCTGGGCTCTGCTGGCAGTCCTTGCAATTTGATCTGCTTGAATGACCGCTGCAGATAAATCGGCACTGTGCTCCATACATCTATTCTTTATAAGTTCAAAGCAGCCCAGCTGAGTCCTTGGCCCCGGCACTCTTCTGAGGGGGTGACTACTTCATATCAGAAKCACAGTATTGAGGACACTTGTGGAAACTACCTGATTCTCCAACTGGCCTTTGGTATTTTCTTCCCTGTTTGAGCACAGCCCTGGTACCTACCACTTTATCAGCCTATGTTGATTGCTTTTGTTGTGTTGGGTCTATACCGTGATCATTGCCTACAGACAGAAATGTGAATTGAAGCATCTGATAAGTTAAAGATGTTCGCTTGTTTTTTAATAAAAGTTAACGTGCAACACTAGCGGGGCATGAGTGCACAGTTGTAATCCCAGCAACTCAGTAGGCTGAGACAGGAGGATTGCAAGTTCAAAGCCAGCCTCAGAAACTTAGCAAGACCCTGTCTCAAAAGGGCTGGGGATGCGGCTCAGTGGTAAGGCACCCCTGGGTTCAATCCCCAGTGCCCCCCAAAATTAAAAATAATAAATTTWAAAGTATGGTCTTGTGGGTTTGGGGAGGGGTTTGTTTGGGGTTTTTTTGGGGGGGTACTGGGAATTGATCTAAGGGGCACTCAACCACTGAGCGACATTCCCAGCCCTATTTTGTATTTTATTTAGAGAGGAGGGTCTCACTGAGTTCCTTAGCACCTCACTTTTGCTAAGGCTGACTTTGAACTCACTATCCTCCTGTATGAGCCTCCTGAGTTGCTAGGATTATAGGCRTGCGCCACTGCACCCGGCTTCTTATATTGTTGTTTTAATACTTTTTTTTTAGTTATRGATAAATGCAATACCTTATTTATTTTATGTGGTGCTGAGGATCGAACCCAGTGCCTTACACGTGCCAGGCAAGCCCCCCACCACTGAGCCACAACCCCAGCCCTTGTGTTGTTTTTGACACAGTAATGAGACAAATTAAGAAACTTTGAGTGCTTGCTTCAGCAGCACATATACTAAAATTGGAACGATACAGAGAAGATTAGCATGGCCCCTGTGCAAGGATGACACACAAATTCGTGAAGCGTTCCATATCTTAAAAAAA